CTCATTTCAGCCAAATTTCAAACACTCTATGCCTCTAATTAGTAATCAACATAATTCCAAAAATCCTTACTCAATCCGCCACCCACTAAGCATCCTTCCCTCTTTTACAATTTTTTATATAATAATATACTCATTAAATTCCACACATCAGCCATGAAAACTTCCCCACTTGTCTGGCCGCCACAGAAGAAATGGACAACCACAATGAAAATGAATATACCACGCTAAACTTGCAAGCTAATCTCATAAGACTACTTTAGACAAGTCAATTTCCATTAATTTAACAACCCAAATAAAACTCAAAGCCCTCTTCGACAGAACCATCCTTTCCCAAAATCTATTCCACAATTTCAAGATAATTCTTGAATTAAAATCAAGAAATTACCATGAAACTAAGGAAATTTACCTTGAATGGACTTGGCAACTATTTTCCCCCAATTTGTGCAATCAACTTACTGCTTTTTGAGTGAGGAAACTAACACCCCTCCAAGAGGTTCTGCAGAACAGCACAGTTATTCTTAAATTTCTAGGTTGAGTTTTGCACATTTTACAAGCCACTCCTTCATCCTTACCAACATTATACACATAAGTCCTCATATTTTCACCTTATTGCATACACATCCTTAAGGGATTAAATTAAATCAAATTGAATAATAATAATAATAATAATAATAATAATAATAATAATTCTGGGTATTACAGTAACAAACATATTTTTTAAGGACTTTCACCTTAAAACTACATGACTTTGAACCAATGAGGCATGAATCCTAAATTGATGGTTGTTTGTCATGCGTTTAGCATTCCTTTTTTCCCTTTCATTATCCCTTGTTCAGTTAGAGCCACCACAGCGCAAAATGACCATGTGGCATTGTATGGCTTGTGGGTCCATCTGAATTGTAAAATATAAATAAAAAAATAGAGTAAAATTTGAAAATTACAATTCTTTCTTCGCACATCTTCTTACTCTAGGAGCTTGAACCCTTTTAAGCCTCTAATTACCATTTTTGTTGAATTATGGAAGAGAAAGAATAGTGATTTCTCATTCGATTGGCCACCAAAGCACCATTGAGCCTAGCAACCTTGAATTTACCGTCGTGGGCAAAATTGGAATTTCAGGTGGTTTAAGGTAGCAAGTCAACAACTTCATGAACGAAGGGAAACCTAAGACTTAGAAACCTGTTTGCGAGCAGAAATGAGCCTTAGGGAGTGTGCCAAAGGTGGAAGTTTCAATGTACACACTCCAACACTTAAGTTAAGCAAGAACTAGTGAGAAGAGGAGATTAGAGGAGTGGAGGGTATCTGATAATAGAAAGGGAATTTCCTTTTGAATGGGGGAGAAGACTCCTTTTATGGTTATTTGTAAGTTTGTCTTATTTTGAGGAAATCTACCAGGTTCATATGTCTAGGTGTTTTATTTGCAAGATTAGAACAATCACAAGATATGGCTACTAGTGAGGTAGTGCCATTTGTGGCAATGAGACAAGAAAAGACAACTTGCAAAGGTTGTAATTGTTCCCAATAGGACGCATATGAGTGTAAGCCCTACTATTCTTTGTTTTGTGAAAATCTACTAGGTTCATATGTCTAGGTGTTTTATTTGCAAGATTAGAACTGTAATATCCCAAAATTTTGTGGTATTTTGCATAAAGTTAGGGACTTATCTGGGGAAAAATATTATTGAGGGGCTTAATAGCAAAATTTTTAAAAGTTGAGGGACTTAAAAGATGAAAGAAATTAGGATAAGGATGGTTGAGTTTTTTCGTTCTTTCTTCTTCCCTATCCGCGCGTCCTGCTCTTTTTCTTCAGCTCTGCCGACTGAAGCTCCCCTAAGCCACCGACTCATCCCCTTTGAGAAAAATTGGTGACAAAGCTTGAAATTTCTTCTTCTTTTCTTGTTCAACCACAAGATTTGGGGCTTAGAATTCTCTCTCTCAACCCAGAAGAAAATCCCGGTTCTGTTCTGGTCTTCCTCCCCTGTCCGCCGGCTGCTATGTGGGTTTGAATTTCTGGGCATTTTTTGGGTAAGCCATAGCCATGAAATTCATCCTCTCTCTCTTAATTTGGCTTGGGTTACTCTAATTTTTGGTTGTGGTTCTTGAATTTTGGGTAGTTTCCGTGAGTTTCCTTGCAGATGCCGTTGGCTTCTT